TTTATAAAATCTTCGACTCAGAGATCCCAAATACCTAATGTTCTATTGCAAATTTTTAATTCCTTTCAGTAGGTAGCCCTAATCTCCACCCAGGGCCTAACATCTAATCAGGCATAGATTCTCATGGGATATAAATATTTTCACAAAATCTTGGAGTAAGAGATCTCAAATACCCATTATCCTATTCCAATTTTTAATTCCTTCCAGCAGACAGTCTCAACCTACATTTTTTAACCTAATATCTAGAATCTGTCAAAGACTCCAATTTCTCATAGGATGCAAATATTCCTAGAATCCGAACTTCTGTATAAATTAAATATTTGTATAAAATCTTGGAGTAAGAGATCTCAAATACCCATTATTCTATTCCAAATTTTTAATTCCTTGCAACAGACAGCCCTAATTTCCACTCTGGGCTGAAACTATAATAAGTCAAAGACTCCAATTTCTCATGGGATGTAAATACTCCTAGTATCTGAACATGGTATCAATCATGATTCCATTCCTCTCCAAATTTTCCATCAGCAAGTGGCGAAGCTTGGATCAGTGAACTATTCGAAGGAAGAGGTCCATAGTCTCAGCTGCACAGAGTGGGATAATGGCCGATTTACTTTTGCATGGCTTTAATATTAATGTTACTCCCTGTCGGCCAGCCCGCGGTATAATAACGTCGTGGTCCGGGGTTATACATACGTATAGGCTCGGTCATGGATTCTTTTTCATCCCGGAACGAAACTCTAGCTCACGTCAGGCGACGCGTACACGTGTGTATATGGCTCGCGAACCGCTGCAGATGCATAGGAAGTTTAGTTAACCGCTCTATCGAGCATAAATTATGCGCGCCATTAGAGTTGGTAAGCGCATGGTTCACGACCGCGTTTGCATCGCTGACCGGCGACTGATACCGATAGATAAGGGCGGAAGGAAAGTGGACGCGACTGTGTGTGCCTATGTGTGCATGAGTGGCTATACGGGAAGAGAGAATAATTCTTGCATAGTCCTTAAACGTTACCCGGACTTCCTGGTTCGGCTTTGTTCCACGTTCTTCTCCGCTGGGGATTTTTCATGGGGTTCGTGATACTCGATTTTCGCTTTATTACCTATTTCTGATTTACTAGAGTCGACTTTATGTGACTGTGGTACGTAGATTTTTATCCTTGTACCATTATTTACAATATCGTGCGAGGATCTTGGCAAGGAAATCGGTTCATATATAGATTGTATAGTGCCTTCGAGTGCGATCTTGGTATTTAGGGACAGAGAAAATTGCGACAGTGCAGTAGGAATCGTAATCATGGAACAGTCCTTGCTATTATGACACCTGCGATAACAGCCTATTAAAGAAAATCCAAATCCGAAGGTCAAGATAATAATACAGACGTCCAAGAGCTAATATGAATCATCACCTCACCCAAACCAAGACCAAATGTATAAATACCATTGACAAATTTAAATGAAGTTAGTCTTGATACTGATACCTCATCCATACGGTTATGTTCTTTGCGAGAAACCTTAGTAAACTCTCTATAGACCAGTTTTGCTCCTATCACCGAAACTGTGGTTCGTCGAAATCATTTTTATATTCTGGATCCTGTGACCAGTTTCGATGAATATTATTTCTTTCATTGTCCACGTGTAATTCTCCCGTGACACCATCGTCTATGCTCCGTTCAGCGAGGAAAGGCAGGAAATGTACGTTTGCGTGATCAGTGCTGCGGATTGCAGCTGAGCGCTGCCAAATGTCAATGTTCAGGGACGAATAATGAAGAACCCTTATTGGAGGAGCTTCCAGTCCTGTTCCGATCACGCGCCTCTGTCGTGTATAGTGCGTTCGAGAAAAGTAGGCACAGCGTGTTTACATCCTCACGGCTGATTAACTCCACTGACGCTGCCATCGCCACAGGCAGTGACAGCTATTGGCCGAAGATGGTGACGAAGATCATTGGTCACTGTGTTTTGTGATTAAAGGAGAATCAGCGGAGTTAATCAGTCGTGAGTGCCTTCTTTTCTCGAACGCACAATAGTTCATATATTACTTCCTGCAAGTTCTCGTTGAACGAAGTATAATATTCTACTTCTATTTCAAAAATTTATAAGAAGCTTGACCTGGTGCAGACGGTGCCAACTATTGACCGAATATTACTAGATAATCAGAGGATAGAGGATCAGTTGTGAGGATGTAAACACTCTGTGCCTTCTTCTCTCGAACACATAGTAGATAGGGCTCGACGTAAACACTTCGAGTCAGGCTCGTAGTCAGTTTTTGGCTCAACGTGTGTTCAACATTGTTGCTGATTATGGCACGCGCCATTCGGATTTAAATGGTAAGACAGGGTGTTAACATGGGTGGTTTGTAAGGGTGGAAATGTTTTGATAGTAAGGGACGATTTTATCACTTGTGATTTTATACATTGGCGTAATATAGGATTTTATTGTTATATCGATTCAATATATAGAGATTGACAATCTGCAAGAGTCTCTGATATTTTATGGTAATAGAGGTAGAAATATTTTGCCAGGAAGGGGTGGTTCTATTATTTGCGACTTACAAAATTTTACATCAAAATAAACAAATAGGAACTGCTTTACAAAATTAATTATTTGCATATTTTAGAAAATGTCAAAGATTTTAAGTCACTAATTGCGACATCTGTTTACCTGTTACTAATATAATCCATGTTTGTCCTCGTCATTTGTGTATCATCGTCTCAGTCCTTATAAAGCCGTTACAATGTAAACTACGTGCACACGAGAACCATTGCCCTATTATATAAAGTGTAATAAGAATATAAAATGTACTACAAAAACCACGTTCTACTGCCATATAAGTTTAATTCTGCAACCACCGACAGAAGAAGTCAAACAAAATTTTAGGCAACGAAATGTATCGAAAATGAATACTAATTATAAGAAATACCAAACCAGTCATTTTGACCCCTCTTGGTAGATCTAGCATTAAACAGCCAGTAGTCAGGATTTGCAAAGCACTGCCAAAGCTAAATAATTCGTTGCAAAAACACGGAACCAATCCTGTCATCTCAACGAGAAGCAATAAAATCGCAAACTGAATTCCACCTGGACCCAAAGGAAAAAATAGATCGGTACCCTGATCGAGCCACCTCAATTCCAACCCAGCATCAGGAACATCCTCGACTTTTAAAACTCCCGTTAAACTTCCTGCTGGTCCCTTTTTGCCTCGGCTGAGGCCGTCGCGAGATCCATTAACCGCAGCCTATAAATATGCATCTTACTCGGCTAGACGAAGCCGCACAAAGGATTCTTCAGCACCGTGCAAATAACCGAGCGTCATGCTACATCGATCCTCTCCGCCGCCCTGTTTTTGCGTTTCAGGGTGGCACAGCGATTTTCGTTGCAATTAAACAGCGCATCGCGTTCTTGCCTTGGACGGCTCCGTGCTTGAATACCAAGCAGTTAGCCCCTCCCGGAGGATGCTCATCATCCCGGGGCTATTTGCTGCCTCGCAACAGAGTAGAAAAATCGATCGACAAAGCCGACTATCGATTTCACGGTTATATTATCGCTGAATCTCGGCCTGGTCCTTTCTTCCAGGCCACCATAAATTCGTCGAGCGATAAAAGCCTCTGGCTGGTACCCGTGGCTCTAATTTAAGGATTCCTCCTTTCTCGCTCACCTGGTGGTGTACAGGAACGTGGCGTGGTAATGAGTTCTCTTTACGACCGTGACGATCGTCAATGAGATCTGGCCCAGGCCCCAGCAGCTACCCCCGCGTTTGCTATAATGTCCGCGTGATCCTTTGTTTGCCTTCCGAGAGTTGGACTTGGATCGCACCCTAAATCGCGAGATACTTATTGCGATACGGATGCAACGTCGTAAATCGTCATAAATCGATGAGTCGCGACGACGAATTTTTGTTGATCTTCGAGGGGTTAGGTTAGGTGAAGAGGGAACGAGAGTGGATGGATTGAGATATACCGGATTTTATGGCGGGATTTATCGTGGCTCGGGGAGTAATGGGGTATTTGCGTAGGGTATCGTGCTTTGGAAGGTTGCTGCAGGAATAAACCGTGTTTGTTTGCTGTTGCTGGCGTGGGTTTTATGGTTTCATCGTCCGGTAATAAGGATTAATCCTTCGCGGGTTTTACGTCGAGTGACTCATGGCTGGAAAAGTGCTTATTGATGCTGTTTAAAGGGTCAATGTACTTTGTGTTTCGATTAATCATTGTTTAAGTCGAGGGAACGCTGAGAGATTAGATCAGGAAGCAAAAGTATTGTGTAAGAACGTGTGGACCAGGTAGTAAGGTTAGCAAGAGGTTAGGTTAGGTTAGGTTAGGTTCTCTGTGATTCTGAGAGACAAACACATTTTGGTCCAGATGACACCACGATTTCGTCTTTCGAGCTGTTTATTTTAGACTAAGACTATTTTAGGTTAGGCAAAGGTATATTCATGATGAGACTAGGATAGATCGATTGAAGGAGGATGCAGAGGAACAGTATGGTTAGCAAAGATTCTATCAAACTACCCTCTAGCTTCAAAGAAGAAACACATTTTGGCACAGAGGATACTGTAATTTCAACTTTCGAGCTGTCTGTTTTAGCCTAGGACTATTTTAGGTTAGGCAAAGGTATGTTCATGATTCAACTAGCATAGATTGATTGAAGGAGGACGTGGAAACTAGTATGGTTAGCAAAGGGTGTATCAAACTAACCTCTGACTTTAAGGAAGAAACATTTTTTGGCTCAAACGACACTATAGTTTCGTCTTCTGAGCTATCTAAAGACTATTTTAGTTTAGGCAAATGTATTTCCATGATGAGACTAGGAGAGATCGATTGAAAGAGGTTGCTCAAAGATCAGTCAGTATTGTTAACAAAGGGTGTAACAAACTACCCTCTAACTCTGAGAACGAAGACAAACACATTTATCCATTGAGCCATCTATTTTAGACTAAGACTATTTTAGGTTATGATCACTTTAAGTTGAACAGGTCTCTAATGTTATCTCTGCTTTGAATGTTACAGGTTTCCGCGGAGATCAGTGCGAAGAGAACATCGACGACTGTCCAGGTCACCTGTGCCAGAACGGCGCGACCTGCATGGACAGGATAAACGAGTACTCGTGCCTGTGCCCCCCGTCGTACACGGGCACGCAGTGCGAGCTAGACGTGGACGAGTGTTCCGTGAGGCCGTCGCTGTGCCACAACGGCGCCACGTGCACCAATTCGCCCGGTAGTTACTCGTGCATATGCGTGAACGGTTGGACCGGGCCAGACTGCAGCGTCAACATCGACGACTGCGCAGGCGCCGCCTGCTTCAACGGCGCCACCTGCATCGACCGCGTTGGAAGCTTCTACTGTCAATGCACCTACGGCAAGACTGGTAAGACGACACGCGATCCTTTTTCAAAATTGCTACCTGTTCCGCTGATAGTTTTAATATCGATGATGGAGCAGGAGAGGGAGAGAGAGAGAGAGAGAGTGAGAGAGAGATAATTGTTATAGGGATACATGTAAGGAACTTTGATGGAGATTAGGTAGTGGAAAATCATTGGGTTGGTATTTTTAGTATAAAGTTCGTTGAATAATGCATTCTCCTGATTCGTGGATTGGCGCGGAACAATGCTGCACCATCTAGCGTGAAAAATCGGTACTACTCGTTCAGCGACCCAATGCTTCCAAGTTATGTCCTTACCGTGTGAGCTATAATTGAGCTATAAAATCGTCGCGAAAAAGACGTGTTGTTTGGTACTACCTAATTTCTTTTCTTTTCTTTTCTTTTTCCTTTTTTAAAAATAAATATTGAATATTAATTCGTCATAATGTATTCGTTGAATTGGCATACATTTGTACGACGATTTTAATATTCCAGTAATTCTTGTTGGTTCTTTTCCTGATTCATTAAATTCGTGCAAACAAAATGGCCGAATGTACAGCTTCATCGATAACAGTATTAGTCGAAGTATGTTAATTGCAATTTTGAAATTTGCGCACGAGGTTGTATTTCACGTTGTATTCTTTAATCTAACGGTACATCCAGCAAGAAAATTCTGGCGACTTCTTTTCTGCTTGAAATCATCAATTCCGCGTGCAACAACCTACCACTTTATTCCTATAACCTACTATGTTCTTTTGCGCTCAGTAGCATTCGCATAATGAAGTAGTTCAGGCTGATACGTACATGTGCTGGAAAAATTGCAAAGCACCGGGCTAATAGCTGCATATTAGCACATCACTTCGCATTTCCTTTAACCCGACTTAACCTTAACAGTTCTCATGATCGTCACTTGCGTAAAAATTGGGGTTCCCATAGAAGCCAGTAACTCTATCATCCTGACGCCGATATCAGTCACAAATTACAGAGAACTGCCTAATACTTCCATGACTACTGTTATCCATCCGTGATTTCTTTCTCTCGGTACACGAATGACTCCATTACCAACACTGGCCACTCTTCTCTCATTTCCTGCCAAAAAATTCGACATTTCTCAAGCATAATTTTCATAACACCCTGTATTTCGTATCCCAGGAAAAAATAACTGAAATATCCATTCCTATCTCGAATAAGAAACCCAGAATATGTCAAGGTACCCTATTCTCTGCAGTAGTGTCAATCTCAGTCACCATTTGTTTTATCCCTTTATACCTTTCAATTTTTCGTTACAGAAAATTGGCAGTTTGACAATTTTCTGCTATGAAGTCGATGGTAGAACTATTTTGAGGGTCGTCTCTCGAGTGCAAAGGGTTAATATCAATACATACACCTACATGATGTCATACATGTCACTGAACCTTCGGTGTAGTCATGAATTCAAACCCAAGTTCAACATAAACGTGGGAATAGGTCCCAAGAGGTCCCAAGTTTATTTGCTCGTCAGTACCTTGCTTGGAACCTTCTAAGGGACCATAGTTAGCCTAGAAATTCTGATTATTATTCTCAGAACGAATTCGCGCGACGTAGCACATCCGACGAGCGAAGTGTTGCACGCTGGATCGTGTCGGCATTATGCATCGCGAGAGCATCAGCGCTGAGGCAGGTGCATCTGCACGTGCAACAATATGATGCAGCCTCCGAGGGTCCGTTGGAATCCCGGGATTCCGGAGGCTGGTGCGCAGCCTAGCCTTACCGAGCGACGACCTTGAGGACTGAAAACAAGTTTCTGTCCTTACTTGCCTACCCGAGGCCGGGTGCAGCAGCCGCGCTTTTCAGATCGATCGCGCGTCCACGCCGATCGCCAAATACAGGCATCCTTCTTTTGTCCCGGCGTGATTGCGATTCCTCCGATAGCCCTGTCTGACGACGAGCCTGCGACTTTTTCGCTCGTTCTAACTGCCGCACAGGGAAATTTTAGATGCTGCAGCTCGTGGGCTAACTGTCGTGCTAGTTGCTGACCTAGGTGTAGTTCATGCAAGTGGCCAGGTTTGGGTGATTACTTGGTAAGATGGCATCCAGTAGAGCTTTTTCGCTCGTTCTAACTGCCGCACAGGGAAATTTTAGATGCTGTAGCTCGTGGACTAACTGTCGTGCTAGTTGCTGACCTAGGTGTAGTTCATGCAAGTGGCCAAGTTTGGGTGATTACTTGGTAAGATGGCATCCAGTAGCTCATGAGGATTGTGGAGGAATATTCTGTATCATTGGGGTGTAGACATTAGACAAAATTTAGTTGTATTTTGATAGGATGGATAGTAATTGAGAAACTCGTGGACTGACAGTACTGACAGTACTGTTAGTTGCTGGCCTAGGTGTAGTTCATGCAAGTGGCCAGGTTTGGGTGATTACTTGGTAAGATGGCATCCAGTAGCTCATGAGGATTGTGGAGGAATATTCTGTATCATTGAGGTGTAGACATTAAACAAAATTTAGTTGTATTTTGATAGGATGGATAGTAATTGAGAAACTCGTGGACTGACAGTACTGACAGTACTGTTAGTTGCTGGCCTAGGTGTAGTTCATGGAAAATAGCGAGGTTTGGGTGATTACTTGGTAAGATGGCATCCAGTAGCTCATGAGGATTGTGGAGGAACATTCTGTATGATTGGGGTGTAGACATTAGAGAAAATTCTATTGTATTTTGATAGAATAGGTACTAATGAGGAAGTTTGTGAACTGACAGTACTGTTAGTTGCTGGCCTACGTGTAGTTTTGGGAAGATAGCGAGATTTTGGTTATGACAAAATTTAGTTGTATTTTGATAGGATGGATAGTAATTGAGAAACTCGTGGACTGACAGTACTGACAGTACTGTTAGTTGCTGGCCTAGGTGTAGTTCAAGGAAAATAGCGAGGTTTGGGTGATTACTTGGTAAGATGGCATCCAGTAGCTCATGAGGATTGTGGAGGAATATTCTGTATGATTGGGGTGTAGACATTAGAGAAAATTCTATTGTATTTTGATAGAATAGGTACTAATGAGGAAGTTTGTGAACTGACAGTACTGTTAGTTGCTGGCCTACGTGTAGTTTTGGGAAGATAGCGAGATTTTGGTTATGACTTGGCAAAATGACATCCGATAGCTAATGAGGAATGTGGAGGAGTATGCTATATGATTGGGATACAGATATTAGACAAAAATTTAATTGTATTATGATAGGATGGGTAATAATGGAGGAATTCGTGGGCTGACAGTACTCTTAGTTGCTAGTCTAGGTCCAGTTTTGTGAAAACAGTAAAGTTTGGGTGATCACGTGATAAGATGACATCCAGTAGCTACTGAGGAATGTGGAGGAATATTCTATATAATTGGGATGGTGATATTGGACAAAAATTTAATTGCATTTTGGTAGGATGAGTACTAATGCAGGAATTCGTGAGCTGACAGTGTACTGTCAGTTGCTGGTCTAGGTGTAGTCGGGGAAAGATGGTAAAGAGTGGGTGATGGCTTGGCGAGGTTCGAATAGCTAATGAGTGGCTAATAAGGGATGTGGAGGAATATTCTATATAGTTGGGATCAAGATATTAGACAAAATTTAGTTACATTTTGATAGGGTAGCTACTAGGCACAATCTTAAAGCTGATTAAGAGAAATTTGATAGGTCTGGGTTATCTCATTTTGGTACTCTCTTCGTTTGGAATGAAGAATATGAGAAGCACTGTGTGCTTTGGATGAAGACGGTACCGAGTATTACAGATGCAGATTCTTTGTGTCCAGTTAGAGTAGCTCGGAGAGATAACCGAGAGGGTTATCTCGCACTGGCAATGTTAGGGTATGTAGTAAAGAGCATGGATGAAGCGTGTGATTGGAATGAAGATAGCGATAGGTAATACAACTGAAGATTTTCCTCGTTCACTCATATTAATTCACGGTTGATGAGCTATCTCATTTTGGTCCTATTTAGGCCTATAGAGGAGACACGTCAGCTCACTGGGGCCAAAAAATGCGTACCCTTTGATAAATTAAACTCCATCAGAAATTAAACTCAGCCACGCCATTCCTCTTCTCTCCCAACTCGATGCTACAGCAAAATACTGACCACTTTTCGGATGTTCCTCGCCATCTTCCCATTTCCTGTCACCTTACGCTAATTTACATGTACCGCTTAACAGGCTGAAGATTCACGACATTACTCATCCTCGCATCCTAATTACCGAGTGTTGCCCGACCGGGGGCCTGTCTTTTAAACCATCCTCCTAAATTATAAAAAATGACCGGACCCAGAAAGTGGGTTTTTGCGACATCAATGAGGGCCAGGACGACAGGCCCCGGATTTACGATCTCGTTACCGCGGAAACGGTTTTAACAACGCGTACGAGTTAACGGGCTCGCGATATCTGCGTGCACGCATAACGATGCCATATCTCGGGGGGGCCCGTGTTAAGGCCCGAGGGGCTCGTCTTGCCGCGCATGCGCACGCGGTTACAGTTAGTCGCGGGTGTAATCGCGGATCTGGCTGGCGGTTTATACGTCGACATCGTAGACATCCCTGTCCCGTTAATCGCGGCCCAACGCGTTCGAACGCCATTGTTACGGTGACCAACAAAGGACACGGGGCCTCTTTCTTGCCTCTGTAGACAGGGCGCGAAATCTGCTGAATAGCGAATTTTAAACGGGTCCCAAAGCACGTATGAAAATGGATGTATGCACACTGTGCACACTGCTTTCGTATGAGGTAATTTGAAATGTTTATCTTCGTGGGTTACACAATGGGAATAATTTAGAGGCGTATGATGGATGGAATGAACAGCCGTGATGGTTAGACTGGTCACTGCTAGGCTTTGCTTTGGTTTGATATCAAATTCCCTCTTCTTACGAGAGATTGAAGAACTTTAGAGGTGATATCGACGTAGTTGGCTAATTTCTGACGCTGTATCAGTTGGAGGGATGACTGGTCTTATGAGCTTGCTGATACTCTTCGTGAATCTAATAGAAAGTCTCAGAGAGACTGAAATCCTTCAATCTAGAAGCAAATTTAGTATTCATTAGTCACTTACAATTTGCCCAGTACAATTTGTATGCAATATACTAAATTCTGCAAGATCGAAAGAGTTTGAAGATCTTGAGATAGTTGGCTAATTTCTAGCCTTATGTCAGTTGTAGGCATGCCTGATACTCTTCCTAGACCTAATAGAAAGTCTGAGGAAGCCTCTGCAATCGTCGAATCTCAACGCAAATATAGTATTCATTAGCATACTATTAGTACACTGTTCAACAATGTAGTATTCGCTTACAAATTTTCCAAGACCACTATCTTTCCTCGCACCTAGAACAAGAGCCTCTCGAACCCCATGAAATCCTTCAATCTGAACACAAATGGTTGCAAAACATGGAACACGGTATCCATTAATCAGGCAGAAACTTTCCAAACCAGCTTGCAAATACAAAACCTCGATGAAGCCAAACATAGCGGGAAAAATAGACTCAATTATACCCTGCGCTAGGAGTCGAAGGCGCGTTTAATCCCCATCGCGCATCTCCGAGTACTCCACGTCGATTCCAATCGAAATTCCACGGATTTCCTCGCCGTGGGGAGCAATTAGACCGACTTATCGTGCAAGCTCGCCGGTATTTCCAGTAATTTACGAAGTCGAACGTATCGATCGACGCAGCAGAGCCGCTGGGATTTGTCACCGCGATCCCCGAGTGTAACATTTCTGGCTAGGTTACGCGGCTCCGGCGATACGGGCCTTAATGATGTCCATCTTTGGCCGTTGCCGCCATGTTTGGCGCTGACGATCGACACTTTTGTCCTAGAAACGCACGCAGCGCTCCGGTTACCGCGGCCGGCCGTTCAAAATGGCGGACGCCGCGCCGCGGAACTATGCCTCGAAGGCTGTAAGCGACGATGATAAATGTTCGGTTTCTGCTTTTCTGTTTACAGGATTACTTTGTCATCTCGATGACGCTTGCACGTCGAACCCTTGCCACCAAGGCGCGATCTGCGACACCAGTCCGATCAATGGATCATTCACGTGCTCCTGCGCCACTGGGTACAAGGGCGTCGACTGCTCGGAAGACATCGACGAGTGCGAGCAAGGTAAGTGTTTCGAAGTATTAATTTATTATTAATTATTAATTTAATCAACTCGGTTTTCGGTAATGGAAGATTGTCTTCCTTCGATTGAATTGTTTTCCAATTTCTTGATATTATGGTACGTGTAAGTTAAGTGTTAAAATTCTGTAGGGTAGTTTTTGATAATGGAGAACGATAATAGATTATTTTCATTATAAAACTTAATATTAAAAATTCCTCAAAAATTCGGCATGATATATTTTTTATAGTTTATTGATAAGTCCCAGATTTTAGTATTTATACCTTCGAATACTGCTCGGGTACTAACTCAGGTACTACTCGTTTTAAATACTTCCACAGTACTCGTAAATGAATTATTAAAATTCCATAGAAGACACTGAAGTATTACTCTTCTAAATAATCATTTTTTTCATTTTTAAAAAATTTTTTTATTTGCCAATCCGAGAGTTAAAATTTAAAAGAAAATTTTTAAATCTGTAAGTAAGGAAGCCAGTTATCAAAGATATTTTGAAAATAAAAATTACCATGTGATTCCAAATCCTCTCTGTGCACATGGTGATAAGGTAGAATAGGAAATAAAATAAACGATAATAGTAATAAATTGTGTAAGGGAAAGGATTGTATAATCGGAGTGCACAATAGCACTTTCGAAGGGGGTAAAAAATGGATGGTGTAATTGCTTCGAGACAAAAATATATTACCTCGGAGCGCTATTAATCCAGTGATACGTTCGACCTGAATGAAATGATCTCTCGAGATAAGCCGGCCGAATATACAATCTGAAATAGTTGCGAAAGTAATCTCGCTTCGAAACGAAAGCATCGCATGCCTTCGCTTCATGGTGCCTCATCGGGCACGGTTATTAATGATTCTGCCGATTTAAAAACGCTCGATGATGATTTCGCGCATGAACGAACAAGAAAAATATCTCAGAGATCGCATCTGATAGATTTTATCGCGGCGCGGGTTAGTTCCTATATTAAAACGCTCGGAAGAATAATAAATGAACGGGGTACCGTGTGTTTAACCAGGATATTTAACCGATTCCTGTTGTGTATCCAAGCCGATTTTCATGACTTCTCATTCTTCAATTTTTCTTTTTATCTTTTTTCTTTTGTACTATCTGATTTGTGAGCTCCTTGTGAAAGATAAAGGCATAGGTATCATATATTTTATGTTAATTTAGAATTTTATATGGGGGGAGGGGATACAATTAGTTGCTATATGGTTTCAAAAATTTTCAGAATTTTTAATCCCCATGATTTTTTGGAATTTTTGTTATTGCACTATATTATTTCGTTCTTTCTTTTATTAATGAATTCGTTAATAATTTTAATACAAATTTTTGTATCTCTTCTCGATGTAATTGGTTCTTTAAAGTCACTTGATTTGTGTCTCTATCCAAATCAGAATTATAATTTTTTAATTCGTGGATCTAGAATACTAGATTTTGTATTTCTTTTTATTGCAATCTTGGATTCCAAGAGGGGATGAAATTTCACGTTCAGAAATCACAGAAAAGTACAAGCTTACAAAATTTTCGGAACCCATTTTAAATTTTTAAGTCCCAAAAAATCTCGTATTCTGAAATCAGCAAAATTTCGACGTATTCGCCAACTAGTGCGAATTTAAAACCAGTTGATATTCAATTCTCAATCTCAAACAGCGTGCATCGTATATGCACAAACGCTCGTCATTGTCAGCGAGTCTAACCTCATTGTAAACCGTGATAATTTCATCGACGGAGCATGTTCTGCCAGTCGACGATGTTCTCCCAGACACTGATGAGATCGAAGCTGAATAACCGACTCGGTCGAGCGGGGTCAATACGTTTAACAGTCTCCTTTTTTCTCGTTTCCATCTAGTCCGTGGGTGAGCGCGCGCTCCTTGCCACGGCGCATGCGCGGCGCGTCGCTCGGTCACGTGGTCGCGCCGGCCAATCGGGCCGCCGTACGCGTCCGAATATTCGTGGCTCGTTAGAGAATCGTCGAATCCGTGAATAAAAATCAAGATTAAGCGGCGCGTTGCACGATCTGGCGGCTGAAAACGCACAATGTCTCGTTAAGCTCGATGCACGATCGCCGTTTGTGCTGCCAGGCCTCGAAATAAATGATCGGCTTCGGCGACGTGGAAAGAAAAGTTCGTCCGGATGAATATCGAGCCGATGACTCGCGCGATAAAGACTCGGTATTCTTTTCGCGAGATTCTTTCTCGCTTTGCAACGGGGAATTTGATTTCGGCCCGCAGGTGGTCGTGCTAAATTTCGACACGTAGTCGATTAATAATTTTTCTTAGAAAATCTATATGGATATATTCGTGGTTAAGGGTTGATAATTTACTCCTTAAACGGAAATCAAATAATTCTGGTACTCGATTTATTAACGATAGAATTGAAAAGTAAATGTAGCATTTTATATGCATTTTATATGTATTCGTATAAATATTTGTTTATCTTGATAAAAATTAACCCTTTGCACTCGAGAGGCGAGTTTCAGTCACCATTGGATAAAATTTGGAAGATTGATATTTATTAATATATCAAATTTAATGCAATGTGACAGTCTGCGAAATATCGAAATCAAATAATTCTACAATTTTATTATACAATTATTTATTTACTGCTCAAAAAAATATCGTCAGTTCTTTAGTAGAGCATCTTTGAATTTTTACTCTTCTCTAGCCAAAAGTCGTCGAGTGCAAAGGGTTAATATTTTCGTCAAATATAATTTATATATTTTTAAATGTGAAATTGGTAAATGTAAAGTCGTTTTGATTGATTTAATAATTCCAATACAATTTTTATTATTATTTTTTTCCGTTTTTTTTTTAATTGGAGAAATTTTTGTTTTGTGACAGGAATGATAGGATATCGGAAACTGACTTGGATGCAAATATTGTTTGCGCATATGATTTGATGTTAATTAGGTTTTAAAGGTGTACTTACGTACGTTTATCTCTAAGGAGGTTAAACTTAGATTTTATCGAATGACGGAGGCTGGTGAATTATAATTAGCTGACATAATTCAAGTGTCGTGTAAAGTCACTGCTGGTTAATTGCTTCATTAGTTCAATTAAACCAAAGAACAAATGAACGAAACTTTGTCAGAGGAGAGACAAAACAAAGGTAGATTTTTCTCAGAGAAACCTGAAATATTTAACTCGTTCAACTTCCCTATTTAAATTAAACAATTAGAAACAATTTATTTAATTCGCCGATTAAGATCTAGAATATTGAAAATATCTCTAATCACAGGAAACATTAGCTGGATTCTATAAGCGAATAAAATAATTTATTTAAATTGCATGGAGGAAACGCGAAATAAAATAAAAAGCCGGTATTACGAGGCTCGCAACAAAGTTTCTCTCTTTAAAAAATAACCAATGCATTTAAAAACGTACTAACACGTGGGAACAGGTCTGGAGAACAGCAGGAAGTAACCAGAACACTGTACATACTTCAATTCAATTAGCTTCATAACGATTTCTCATACCCACAGACTACCTTCCACATTATTCATGCTGAAGCAACTCAAAATTAACTCGAATTAATAACAATGTCACTACATTCCACTATTTCCAATCTTTCTCACAATACAGGAACATAAAACTATATATCTAAAACAATCGATGCATTGCACCATCCATCATCGTTCATTTCCTACCAATTCATCGGGACAGAAATTAAAACTCGTTAGAACGGAAAGAAATGTAAAATGAAATGAAAAATTCACTAGAACGGAAAGAAAAGACAAAATTAAAATTCACCAGAACTGAAGAAGATAGTTGAAAGTCACCAGAATGGAAAAGGAAATTAAAACTCACCACAAAAAGAGAAAAGAAAGAAGGTAAAATGTTGAAGGATAAAGGGGAAATTAAAATTCACCAGAACAGGAAAAAAACAAAATTAGAATTCACCAGAACGGAGGAAAGAAATTAAAATTCACCAGAACGGAAGAAAGAAATTAAAATTCATCAGATCGGAAAAAGAAATTAAAACTCACCACAAAGAGAGAAAAGAAAGAAAGTAAAATTTTGGAGGACAAAGGGGAAATTAAAATTCACCAGAACAGGAAAAAAAAAACAAAATTAAAATTCACCAGAATGAAGGAAAGAAATTAAAACTCACCAGAATTGAGGAAAGAAATAAAAATTCACCAGATCGGGGGAAAGAAATAAAAATTCACCAGATCGGAGGAAAGAAATGAAAAATCACCAGATCGGAGGAAAGAAATGAAAAATCACCAGATCGGGGGATAGAAATTAAAATTCACCAGATCAGAGAAAAGAAATTAAAATTCACCAGAACTGGGGAAAGAAATAAAAATTTACCAGGACGGAAATAAAATATTAAGAAAAAGAGAAAAGAAAAATGGACAGAAAAATAAAATATCTAGGAGAACACTGTTATCGGTTCGGATTCGTATTTTATCAGGTCGACTAGAAAGATCGAGAACGGCCGATAATTATTAGATTAATGTAGCGGATCGTGCGCGAAAGCCCCCACGGTTCGAGCAAATTGAAATCCCACACGGTGCAGCAGAGCCATCTGTACGGGGAGGGATCGATCGATCGCGATCGATTAATTCGGTTCTCCTTGCGCTCCATTCATCCCGCGGACTTGCTCGTCTCCCCCCTACCGTTATTGCCGATGTCGTCGATCGTGATTGATCCATCATGAACGAGGAATCCTCGATCACCCGTTGCGGCAATCTTATCTGAATACATCTGCGAATCCAACTCGATTCCATTCCATTCCATTCGATTCTCCTTGTGGGAACGGTTGCATCGTGTTCCAATTACATACTTATACCACGAGCATGTTTATTCAGAACAAATTTGTGCCTTATTTCAGACGCTGCAATCGTCGTTCCGAGATTTTCGAATTTTTTTTTTTTTTTTTTTTGAGGGGGTATCTGAGATTTTGGAAATTGATGTGATATACTTGTTAAAATTTCAAATTTCGAATTAGGATTTTAAGATAAATTCTTAAAAATTTAGAATCA